ACAAACATGCCCCCCCCCCCCCCCAAAAAAAAAAAAAACCCCCACAAAAAACAAACCAGCACATGCCCTGAACTAGAATTGCATCAGTTGGACCTGACTCCCCAGCTTCTGTATAGCTTGCATGCTTCAGCGGGGCTTTTTGGCACTTTTATCTAATAGGTGATTCAGCTGTTAGATAAAAGCACCTAAAAAGCCTCATTGAAGCACATGAGCAAGCCAGATCAAACTGATGCAACGCTTCTTCTGGGCATGTGTTGCACTTGGCGTGGGGATGCACTGAGGTGAAAGTAAAGCACTAGGGTTTTTATTATTTGTTTGGGGGGTTTCCCATGTCTGTAAGCATCCTGTATCATTAGTCCAGCTCCAGGGTCTGACTACCTTAACATATCTCTTATCTTCAGCCTGCAGTTTTTAGCAGAGGCCTTCCTAACTTTTTTCACTTTTTACCTTCATCACATTGAGTGTCACCCAAACTTAGCTGCTCTTAGCTCCTGTTTTGGTGATAATACTGGTAGAAGGTGGCCTTACTCAGTGTGCCTAAAGTCAGGTGCTGTTAGCACCAGCATGAGAGTATTTCCTGCTGAATCACTTCCAGGTCATACATTTTGGGTATCAAAAAACTTGTATTGCAGCTGCCTTTTGGCATGTGTGCAGCACCAATCTCAGATGGATTTATTAGAGCAGGGAAAGGTGCATCTAGCACTATATTAGAGAAGAGCATTAAAAGCAGATGCTTACTGCCAACCAATATTAAGTCAGTGTGTTGCATCATTTTCTGGCAAGAGAGGGGCTGAACAATCAGCTTGGTTTGGAGGCCAGCAGGCACTAAGCCCTTGGCCCTTGAACCATTTCTTCCCAAGACCCAGCGGTGACATGGTAGAAGCCCCAATCTGCCTGTACTGTGCTGCAGCTGGAGGGTACAGAGGTTGTAGTAGGCTGCAGCATGGTACAGCAAAACCTCCCCCTCCACTGAAGCCCTGGGCACCTAACTGCAGCATGGTGCAGGGAAAGCCCCTCCCCCTCCACAGCTGAATGGCACAGAAGCCACAGCTTCGTGGGTTCATTCAAGAGGTTCAGCCGGCAACATCTGGTCTGCATACCGTAGGTTGCTGAACTCTGTCATGGGTCATGATTTACTTTATCTAGTTTAATCTGTAACTACCTTGTAACAGGATGGCAGTAACTGCAGTATCCCATGAAAAATGAAGTAAATATGACTACCTTTGCCTCCAGGATATGTTTCTTTTCCCAGTACAACTGATATTACCAAATAGTAATTAAACAAGTAGTTAGGGCAGAATTAAGATTAGTATTTCATCATAAGTATTTTTTTGCCAGTGCAATTACCTCATGTAGACTGGAAGGGATAACACTTTTACAAATGTTTGTGAGTTAACCTGTGTAGAATTTTTCCACAGTTTTAATCTCTTTGAAACGCTCATAAATCTCTGACGTCCACAGGAGAATGCTGCTGCTTTACACTTCTTCTGAGCCACAGAATGCAATTTAAGTAGCAAAATATTCCTGCGGGAGTTAATCATTAATCACTTACGTTATCTGCAAGATGCAGGCCAACAGGATTATGAAGTTCATATGCCAAAAACATTGAGTTATAGTGATTAGTACATTGTTCAGACTCAACTTCCTTTAATAAACCACAGAACTTTTTACTTAAAGTTGGTACTTTTTGTTTTAAAATATTATTAACTCTGCCAGTGTGAAAGACCTACAACATTTTGGCCTGCAGTTCCTCACTACTGCTAGTTCATTTTCTGTTTTTAGTGAGCTTCAGTGTCCTTTACCTATCTCAAGACAAAAAGCAACTTCCTGTCTTGTGGTGTAGCCAGTAAAATGACTGCCTAGTATAGGACTTTTATACTTATTCTATTTCAGTAAAGTAAGGGCGTCAAAGGTGCTGCCTGCAGGCTGCATTTGGGCTGTGGAGCCCTGTCATCCAATCATCAGTGCTGCCCATAGGCCTTGGACCAGCTCTGCATGTGGTATGTGGAGTTGTCTGTTGTGTGATGCACACAGATCCTGTCTTGGGCACATGAAGGGCTGTTCCAGGGCACAACAGACTGGACCTAAATTCTGGGCCTGGGGCCAGGCCAGATCAGCCCACAGATGGCCCCCTCATATGGCACATGGGCTGGGGCTAACCAATGTGCTGTGTGCAGACCTAGAGCTGGGGTGCATACTACATGTAGGGCCAGTCCAGGGCACACACCATGTACGGGACTGGTCAGCAGGGCCAATCCACCCTGCAGACCAGCTTCACATCCCTCATCTAGTGCATGGGGCCAGATAAGTTTCATACCCCTGCAATAAATTGTAAATAAATGCCTTCTGTATTGCCCTTACTCTTGGGCTAGGGAAAACAATTGCATTTGCTGTTCAACATGTGTTGAGAAAGGAGGGCAGACTTACTGCCTTACTGTGCCAGGTTCTTACAAAAATGTTGACTTACTTTTTTGTTGTAAGTTTTTCTATAATTGGGCTGGTTTTACTCTTGGATTGTTATATTGTTATAGAAAAAGTAATTATGCCTAGAAAACATCAGCTAGTTTTGTACCTTGGTTCCCATGTTCATTTTTCACTTTCAAAACGTCTGCCTAATAAAAGTGTGATGGGATTTCTCAGAAGGTCTAACAGTACAGCCTTCTTGTATGGTGTTTTGTAGTGACTAGCCATTGATTTCAGCCTCATGGCCTCAGACTTAAAGAGCAAATGTTAGACTGATTTTACAGCTTTTGCAGCCCAAGCAAGTTGCTATAATGAATTTTGTGTCGATGAATTGCTGTTTTTTAGAATGTATGTTTTTGAACCACAGAGTCAGAGACTATTTTATGTCATATGGTTCGTTTTTAATCTTAAAAAAGCCTGAGTGCTTTCTTGCATCAGCAGTTGTTACTGAAAAAATCCAATTGTAAAACTGTAATTTAAATGTCTTTACATTGTTGGATAATAGACGTTCTACAGTCCTCAGGGGTTTGTTCTGGGAGTTGGAATATTCATTGCTCGTTGCAGTCTTAGAACTTAAATGCTTTATGTTGGTTTTTTTCTTTTTTGTTTTGCTTTCTCTCTCTCTGCCTTTTCATCTTTTAGCTCTTCTTTGGTTTCTTTTGGCATGAGAACATCCTCAATTTGTTATCACATTTTTGAGTTCTTAGACCAAAAACAGACATCCAGTTTCTCCCAGGACAAAACCTTCTATTCTGGCATTCTACAGATGTATAAACTCATTGTTATTCACAATAAGTAAATGTGAAGTATTGTGTGACATGCCACACTTTAAAATTAAAGCATGATATAAACCAGTTTTTAAATTGTTCTACATATATTTTTTTTTCCTAAGTAACAAATTTACAGCTTGTTGACCACTTCTATTGTTGGAATTATTTTGCAGTGTAGCATTTCCAGATTTATTATGAAGCTAATCATTTAATTGCACAATAGATGTAAACTATGTCAGAGCCCTGAGAACTGCCCC